TTACTTGCTATTTATGGGAAAATTAACCTAAGCTCTCCTGAGTCCTCATTTATAAAATGAAGATTATAGTACCTCACTCTCGGAGTTGCTATGAAGATTAAATTAGTTAACATATGTAAAGTACTTGCTTCTTGGAATATAGTAAATTCTCAGTAAATGGAACTGTTGGGGTGATGACAACAGTGATGATCAGTAATAGTGTTGCATGTGCAATGCTTTGTGCCAAGTATTGTGTTAGGTTCTGGTCCAGATACATAGAATAAAGTTGACAAAGTCCTTGTTCTCATGAAGAGTTTATATTTTCCTTGGGGATAAGAACTAAGATGATTTCCTCAAAACTATCTAAGAAAGGGCCTAGGAAAGAGGCTGTTGTATAGTTCAATAAAGACTAGTAAATAGCCAAGTTGAGAAAATGTTAAGGTTTCAGGAACTTGTATAACTTTGCTGTCTTTATATTTCTACTAGGGGCCCAGTGCCTGAATTCGTGCACCTTGAAAGGAACTGTGAGCCACGAGGCTGTGGTAGGCACAGGGGCGGGTCTCAGCCCATCCTCCCAGCCCATGTCTGGCCCCCAGTCACCTGTCTGCTGGCAGCTCCGCTCCTGCCGCAGCTCCCACGCTCTGACGGCGCTGGCCCCGCTCACACCCGCTGAAGGCGTGAAGCCATTTGGGCCAGCACCAGCAGTGGGTGCGAGTGGCAGCTGCTGCCCTGATCGCCTCTCCGGAGCAGGGGGAGATGGAGAAGCCCTCAGGGGTGACCAGGGCCGGCAGCTGTAGCTCGCACCCACTGATGGTGCCAAGCGATCGGGACCAGTACTAGGCACCGGCAGTGGGTGCAAGCGGTGGCTCCGGTGCTGGCTGCGGGTGCGATTGGGTCCAGGGCTGGCAGTGGATGCGAGTGGGGCCATTGCCGGCAGCAGGTGCGAGAGGCGGCTGCCAGCCCCGATCTCCCTCAGGAGCAGGGGGAGGGGGAGAAGCCCTGAGGGGCAATTGGGGCTGACAGCCGCCGCTTGCACCCGCTGACGGCACTGAGCGACTGGCGCTCCATTTTGGTCTGGTGTCTCAGCTCACCTACTATCCCGCCATGGCTGACACCTGCCATGTTCTGTGCACACCCCCTGGTGGTCAGTGCATGTCATAGCAACCGGTTCCAGTTGTTCCACCTTTCAGTCTATTTGCATATTAGCCTTTTATTATATAGGACTTGAGGCCCGGTGCAAAAAAATTTGTGCA